GAAGGATAATTATTTTAATTATCCCCTGCGCCCGCGACGACAAACGAGCCGGCGTCTCTACGATGGCGCGGGCAACGTCCTACCCCACCACCGCTTTTCTTTCGCTAAGTGGTATTCCCCGTCCGTCCCCGCGCCTGCCTGTCTGCCTGCCCCTGCTCGACCGCCCTATATCTACCACTACCTACCTACCCGCGCCCTTTCTCCGCTGCTCGACGCCCTTACGCTCCGCATAATCCATCGCTCCGGGTTAAAATCTAAAATCCACAAGCGCTCCATCCCCCTTTTCCCTCTGTCCCTCGCGCTTCTCATTCAGCTAGTCTGTATTCTGCATCGCTATACCGCCCGCGTGCGGGTGCTCTCTCGCTTTCGTTCTCTCTCTCTCTCTCTCTCTCTCTCTCTCTCTCTCTCTCTCTCTCCTCTCTCTCTCTCTCTCTCTCTCTCTCTCTCCTCTCTCTCTCTCTCTCTCTCCTCTCTCTCTCTCTCTCTCTCTCTCTCTCTCTCTCTCTCTCTCTCTCTCTCTCTCTCTCTCTCTCTCTCTCTCTCCTCTCTCTCTCTCTCTCTCTCTCTCTCTCTCTCTCTCTCTCTCTCTCTCTCTCTCTCTCTCTCTCTCTCTCTCTCTTGCACGCCGCTTTTCTCGGATACATTTCGCTCCTCCGTATCCTTTCTAGTCTTTCACTCCCTTTCCACCTTGCGTATCCCCCGTGTTGACAAAGTACGAGGCATTACTGACGTTTATATGTTAACTCCGTCATTTGCAAGAACGACGGACGAAAATGCTTTCGCGACGTCCGTTTCAAAGGCTCATACCGTCCGTCCATCTCCTCCCCGCCCGCTATGCATGCGTACACGCAACCTATCTACTTTCTCATACTCTTATTCTTCCTCCTTCCCGATCGTTCGCAAAAATCTCTCTCTCTCTCTCTCTCTTCCTCCCTCCCTCCCTCCCTCCCTCCCTCCCTCCCTCCCTCTCCCCCCTTCATCTCTATCTTCTATATCTTCTATATTAGCTTTGCGGCAAGATGAAAAAATGGATGGGCGGAACGAAATGGCAGGGGGTGGCGAAAGTGGTGCGAGCAAGAGAGTGGAAACATCGTTCGCGAAAGCTTATTTCCACGCTGCTTCGGCAAGAACGGATAGGTCTCCTTTATCACGCTCGCAATATACACCACGAAGGTGGTGGTTGCCGCTCGCAAAGGTATCCCGGATACGAAGCACCCTGCTTTTAGAAATATCGCTCACCCCCTAGCGACGACGGCCACGACGGCGGCGGCGACGACAACGACAACGACGACGACGACGACGACGACGACGACAGCGGCGGCGGCGGCGGCGACGGCGACGGCGACGGCGACGGCGGTCGGCGCGCTCGACGGGTGGTCGTCGCGACGCGCGTTCGCGGGGCTTTTTCTTGTTCGCGCGCGTTGTTGTTTCGCCCGCGGTATGAGAGCGGCCGGCTTTCCTGACGGCAACAAACTTCGCGCGAGAGTAAACGCGCCAGTCAAACCGTGACGGAACGATGTGCCCTTTTTTAGAGCTCGCCGGTATTCCCCGCCGCGTTTTCTCCGTTTAGCGCGTCGCATTGAATGGCGCGATATCCCGCGTTCACGCGAGTTATTCGCTCGTTGCGGACCGAGCGGGACGAATGACCGGCCGCGATCGTCGCGTCGTGTCGGATTTATGTGCGAGATACAAGGACGATGATGTTCGAGACGTCGTGAGACGCATTCGCGGTAGATATTATAACACGAGGCTCTATTAATGCGCGTTCTCGCAAGAAGATACGTTGCGGAGTTGCGAGGCTGACTTTCTGCGCGCGACGACGACGACGACGACGAATCATCGCGTTCTGCATCATTACGTCGATATCGATTAAACGTTACGTTGTATCGATCATCGACGTGTCGGTTGCATAATGGGAAACAGACGAACCTCGCGGGTCGGCCCGTTACAAGGAATTCGTAACGCGCGCGAGTGCGTCCGACGAAGGAAGGCGGCGTTTGGCAATCCCACGCGAATCATTCGCGTCACACGCATACGCGAATCGTGTAGCTGCAATCCACTCTCGCGGCCGCCTTTCGCCCGTACATTGTGCTAAATGTGCACGATCATTCGAGCAGGCATCGCGAGGATATCGGAAATAAGCGGACCTAGAAACAACTCGCGAGAGAGCGGCGATTCATCGTATCGCCGAGTGCAATTACGGGATTATTATTTATGAGCTGCGCGAGTCACAAAATGCTCAATTCTACGCTGCATTGTATCGTGAGTATAACAGACAATCGGACTCGGCGGATTTTCCCCCGAGGACGAATATTTATTCAACAAAAAACACCATCCCGAGCGTGCCGATATCGCAAATACAAGAATCAAAGCTCCGCAAAGTGTCGCTCGATCGTTCTGTGAAACGCTCGCGAATTACCAGACATTCGTCGCGCGTTTACTTTTCCGCCTACACCGCTCCCTCCCCCTAACGTCCCCTCCATTCCGCGCTTACGAGCACTCGTAAAGTCGCAAATGATAGTTTTATAGTGGCTGCCTCCTGCGAGAGGTGCTATTTCCAGATCCTCCTCCGTAGATGACCTTTGCCCTCGCGCAAAATATTCACCGGTTCCGTTCGCGTCTGCCAGTGAAGGATTCTTTAACAGTATTGCCGGAACAGAAAGAGAGAAAGAGAGAGAAAGAGAGACAGGAGCGCGAGAGAAGGCAGCGCGCCATTTTCAGCACGTTTGTCCTCGCATAGAAACACCCTTTTACGATTCCGCCAAGCCCTGCGAATCACCCTCGGGAATTCAGGTTTTATAGACCTTTTGCTGCACGAGCGAAGCCGCTCGGACCAGAAAATTACGCGGCACTGTGTTCCGCCACGTTCAAATGGAATCTTTAACGAAACGATTTAAGCGGTTCGCGGATTTTCCCGCGTACGTGTTCGGGGGCCCGCTGTTTCGCACGCGCGCGCGAAGCGTATTTATATTTAACGTATTCGTCGTCTATTATAACCGCGCGACAAATTCCCATTTCTCGCTTTATTCTTCGCGCGTCACGCCGTTCTTCGGGAAAAACGAAGAGAAAAAAAGAATGAGAGAGCGCGAGAGGGAAAAGAAGAAAGAAAGAAACAAGAGAGAGAAATAGAGAGAGAGAGAGAGAGGAGGGAGGGGGAGTTAAATTGCGTAAGGTTTAAAGTTCGCCGCGCACACGTGCGACACGCTATATTCTCGAGTGTTTTTCTGTTGTTTCTCCTCTCCGCTTCAGTGTGCAGGACGGTTCCCTAAAGATAGCGAGATAATTGAAAGGCCCTTACGCGCAACGCGACGCACGGAATAGTCCCGAGTCGCCGTGAGGAAATTAGATTCACCAGACAGAAGTTAGGGGACGAAAATGGAAAAAGCTGGTTCTGAAAGCTTTCGGATGTAGCTGTTTAAAGCGCGTCGCTCGGCTACAACGCGATTCACGGCGCGCAAGCAAATCCGCTCGCGCGCGAATCGGGTCATTGGCTTACGATTTCTTTTCTCTTCCTTTTCTTCTCTCCATCTGTCTCTGAACACGAAGCGCCGGAAGTCAATAATACTCAGTCATGCTAATCAAGCCCGCAGCCTTCGACGTGCTACGCCGATTTACATAGTGTGTAGTATGCGTATGTGTGTGCGTGTCTGTATGCGCAACGTATCGTCTGAGTTGTCATAATCGCGACACGTTTACCGTTATCGGGAGGAATATCAAATTCTCCTGCGAAAATACTCCGTTTGTGAGCAGTTACAGGTGTTCCCGTGGAGCCTGGAATGATGAAATTGAGAAAAGAAATATCGTTCGTCTATATTCGAATGAAGGGGGATTGAAAGATTCGAAGAAAGAAAAATTCGCACTATATCGCGGACTCACGAAAGACAAGAATATTACTTCGAGTCGGCGTTGCAAAAATTCTGCGGCGACTCAAGAGAACCTTTTGAGATTCTGAACCAGAGAGAGGGGAGGAGTGCGAGAGAGAGGGGAGGAGCGAGAGAGAGAGAGAGAGAGAGAGAGAGAGAGAGAGAGAGGAATGTAGGAAAACGACCATGCGGCTATTTCGCGCGAAATATCACGGGAGGCCTAATCGGACATCCATTATGCGGACTCGCTTCGACTTGAGAATGCGCGATAATGTTGCCACGCGTACACGCAAACGGACTCGCCGCGTATCTCTCGCGCTGACGCGTGTGGGTGCGCGATGCTGCTTTTTGCGACCGTTAGTCAACGATCACAGCCAGGTCCATTGCGGTTTACGCAAAAATACAATCCCCATTTGTAATCCGTCGGAAATTACACTCGTCTAGGTCTAGCTCGATTCGGCTAATGTCACTCTCTCGCCGTGTAATCCGCGGGCTGATTTTTGCGCGGATTCGCGCGGTACCGTTGCACGCTTCAAAACGCGGCGCGCCATGTTGTGCGCGAGTGACTTGATCGGAATGTGAGCGAGCTGCAAAATGCGATATCGATAGTTGAATTCCTTTCAGTTTACCTCATGCATTCGATATCGCCTGTATTAAGTGGCGATCTTAATTTCCTATTTCTACGATCAGAGACCCTCTCAAGGTAACGCGAGCGTTTTCCACACATGTGCGCAACATTGGAAAGCTTTAACCGTATTGCGGTGTATTGCGGTGTGCATCGATACAGCGATAAATAGAAACGAGTGTTCAGCCCGAGCGAAATATCCGATGGCGTTATCATTGGCAGAACGATCTAATTTTGCCGCGTTTTCGCATGCAACGTAATACCGCACGATATTACGCAAAACGCGCTCGAAAATATCCCCGTCATTCATTGAAAGCGCTAATGATGCTTCCCCGACTGAAAACCGGCAATTTCACGCTTGCTTTTCCTCGCGATCGGGTTTCTCTCGACGGGAGATTCCGTTGCACGCTCGAAGGCCACGGTTAACGCGCGCTTGGTAAAAAGGTAATCGATTACGTTTCGACGATTATATTTCTCGGCTAATCAAACTTTGCCCTTTTCAATGTGTACAGGGCAGCAGTGACGGCAGTGTCTTGGCATCCGCACGGCACTTATCTGGCGTCCGTGGATCGCACCAAGACAGTAACGGTCTGGGGCGATCACGTTTGACAGGACGAGTGATCCCGGCGCAGACGATTGCTGTTTCACGCATGAGGAACACCCAACTCGCTCGCTCGCGCCCGTTTCGTCTCGCGGCGCGCCTCTCGCGAGTCGCAACCCCCGTCGTCCCCGCGGCATCGCGCGAAAATGAGGCGGGATTCAGCGATCCAGCAATCCAGCGGGAAATCACAGTGCAGCGGCCTCGGCGCCCCGGAGCAGAGCAGCGGAGGAGGAGGAGGAGGAGGAGGAGGAGGAGGAGGAGGAGGAGGAGGAGGAGGAGGAGGAGGAGGAGGAGGAGGAGGAGGAGGAAGAGGTGGAGGTGGAGGAGGAGAGGATATAATCAAAATCATTGGACGGTTCGGCCGCGCACGGGTTGTAAAGCCTTGTAAGGACGCCGTTTCGAAGCTGTAAAAGCGCGGCGGAGATGTGCCGCGCTGAACAAATCCACGAGCGGTAGGGACTATTGTACATAAAACTGCACTTATTGTTACTCCCGGGTTGTAAAGATCCTCTTTTTAGAATAGCACGCCATGCGCATGCCACGCCGCGCGCGCGATCGTCCCGTCCTTCTCTCTCTAACGCACCAGCCCGCGGAAAATCTCAGATATATTATATACCGTAGTCGCATCCGCGCTCTCGAGATTCGCTAGGTGTAAGCCACTTGCCCCGCGCTAACCTGCCTGCACACCAAGGGATACGCTCGCGCGTGTCAATCCGCCGGCTGTGTGTGCACGTCACCGGCCGGTCGCACGTTCGCTCTCGGGCAACGGAACGGCTCCGCGCGCGGTGCCGCCGCCGCCGCCGCCACCGCCGCGGTTAAGCGTTTGCATCGCGCATATTCGTTACACACGATATTAACCGACCCTATACATACACATATACCTATATATATGCAGATATAAACCTACTGTACCGGAATTATGTCGCGTTATTTTTTTCTTCTTTTTTGTCGAAATGTCAATTTTACCGCTACACTTCGTAGGGAGGAAACTCTGCTGCTTGGCGAACCCGCGATGTTCGCGCGCGAGATTTGAAATGGCGTGCGAGCGAATGCACGTCCGTACCGAACGCCCTGCGTTTTAAAGATATTACTTCGTTAGGCAACCACCAAGTATGCGCGTCGCGATCGGAAACGGCCACGTCGTGTACTCGGACATACTTCTCATGCGCTGGGAATTACTCTAGATTAGACGACGTTGAAAGATTTTCTTTTCCTGTTCCATTTCTATTTTCTTATTTCTATTTCTATCTTTTTCTTTTTTCTTTTTGTACTAACTTACGAAATCAATGCCGCCGGAGCAATCTCATCATAGTCGAAGCCACGGCTTTCGCCGCCGTGCGTTTCGCGCGTGTACGCGTGCACGCATAATTCGCGACTCGTCAGTCTCCGACGTCGGTGAAACTCTCACGTCCTGGAGTGCGAGTCCGACGCGGAACGGAAAGTCGGAATGTGTTCCGGTTAAGTAAGCGATTACTAACTAATCGCGTTGTTACGTCGTTCGTATGATCAAGGTAGATTATCGGCCGGTTCGATTGTTCGAAACTCGTTATTTTTACCATGAGACATGTTATCGGATATCGAGTCTTCAAAGAACCGCGCTCTCGGGTGTATCGAAGACCCCGCACGGTGCAACGTTCTGTAATAATCCATAATTCCCGAAATGTCGGATTCTCTCGTGGCTCGTCGTTTTCATATCAGCGTATTATCATGCGATTCGTTTGGCCTCCGTGTGCAAACACGCACGAGATTATCGACCGACCGCGGTCAACTTTCCCTCATTGTCTTCGGACACCGAGTTCACCTTGAGGGTGGAGCTTCGATCTGCCGGACGTTTCTTAAACTTGTAGCACTTTTTATAACACCTCGTTTTCACGCGGCCGCGATACGAATGTTTCGTCGCGCCTATCTGCGCGAGCAATAAAACACGCACTCGCCTGACTTTTTGTACTTTTCATTACATGACTTTTCGTCTCGCGAATGACGTTTTTACTCGAGTTTGCGCAGCTCTTCGGTCGCTCTAATCTCGCGGTGTCTACGAAGCAGCGGGGGAGGGGGGAGGGGTCTCGGTTCCTTTTCAGCTCATTTATACCGACTTTTCGACTCACGTTGCAGGATACAGTTGTTTGTTCATTGCGTTTATACACCGTATAATTTAATCGTAAAAGATACTTGGGACAATTTTCTTACTCGTAAACTGCGAAAAATGAGACGTTTGATTACTTTGCGAGGGAAATTGATCGTTGGTTCGCGCGGTAATTAACCGAAAGTCCCGGAAGTTACGGAAAGTCTTAATATTCAAAGGAGGAGCACAGACTTGTTTACATTCTAGTCTAATTAGAACGTCAAATCGTGAAATTACCAACTTGAGGATCGTAATTTGCGCGCGCCCTGTGACACATTTCTCGACTGAGAAATTGATATACAACTGAAAGTAATAATTTATCGTTTAATTTCCGCGCTCACGCTACGCGCACTCGAAATACGAATCTCGAATGTGTTTTGTTGCGATTGGTTTCAAACCAATTCACCATGTTTGATAATCAGCGCATCCCTACTGATAATGCGAGCCAACGATCATACTTCTTTCCCTTCGTCATCGCGATAATAATTACCGGCTCGCATCTCGCGAGCGAGCAATCGATTGCGTCCATAGTATTGCGTCATGATTTTAATACCGTACATCTAGACCTCATTTCGACTCTATATTCAAAGCCACGGTGTATCTCTCCTTTTCTCTATGTATCGCAATGTATATAACCGGCATGCCGTATACACTGTTCACATATGTAAATAGATATTAAACGTTGCCGTCTTGTATTTTCTAAAATGCGGCTTGTCATTTCAATACCGACCGCCCCGGCAAATCCTGCTCCGTCCTTCTCCTATCGACCGTCTACCTTCGGCTATATGTCTGCGGCTTAGGCAAAGAAGGGACGCCACATTTCTCGATAACAAGATCTATACACGGTGAGTGAAATATACACGATAAGGCGAAAAAGTTTGTAAAAATACGCGCAATGCGCGACGATCCCGCTTCGTCGTATCAACGAGAGAGGCTCCGATCGCTAGGTCATAATAATTGATGTATGATATTAAGTTGTAAAGTATTAAGAGCGTGCTTAGAAACATCACTGGCGGCGCATCGCTCGGCTCGAATTTAAACACTCGACGCCTCCGATAGCCGCCAAGTCGCCGGTAATCCTAAACGGATCATTCCGTTTCAACCTACTTTTTACACCCTTTGTAACTTTTCACTCGGGACAAGTGGCTCATTCACCGCACCCTAATCCCGCCTTTCGCTTCTACCGACCCGAGCGCTGCACACGCGTGTATGTAACTGCGCGCACACGCTCATGAACGTGTGTGTGTGTGTGTGTGTGTATGGGTGCGCACGTATGTACATCACGAAGCCTTCACAGAAGCTCGCCGCGGCATTGCACAGCGCAGCCGTGTATCTGACATTACCTAACGTGCTTTCGAAAGCGCTCATTAGTCACTGAAATGCGGTCACGAAGTGACAACTCGCACGTGGAATATTATACGCTCCAAGAACTTGCATCGGTACTCATATCGCGGTGGTGGCGTTCGCGCGCTGGCACGTCTCTCTGCCTCACCCTCCCTCCCTGTTTGTAACTTTCGTATTATACACCCTTTGTCCGCGATTCGACAGTTTCGACAGTTTTGCAATGGAACGTGAGAACGTGGCGGCATGGTCGGCCGAAGGGGTACCGGGACATAGGGAGAGAGAAAGAGAGAGAGAGAGAGAGAGAGAGAGAGAGAGAGAGAGAGAGAGAGAGAGAGAGGAGAGAGCCAGAGAGAGAGAGAGAGAGAGAGGAGAGAGCCAGAGAGAGATTGGGGGAGGGAAGGAGGGAGGCCGCTTGCAAACAACGTTAAAGTTCGATCGGCCAGCCGCATCTGGGACCGCCGAAAAATTCTCCAACCATCCTCCCGCCCTCCACCCCCGATGTACGCGGCCGCGTGCACGGCAGACGTTTTATCGGGTCGCAGATACGGTCTCGGTAACGTACGTTTTTATTACCAGGCGGATCCACGGCGAAGCCAGCCGCGAATTCGTTACGTGACATCGACGGCTACACACCACCATGCGGTTCTCTGCTCGTTCGTTTTCGCGAGTTAAAATGTTTCACAGCTGCTAGATATGGAGACGACGCGGCGTGTGTCCGTCGTCCGTGCGTGCGGCCGTAAGCGGGACTTTGGAGATTTTGCCGACGGTAATTTGCGCGTAGAATCGTATCCGCGGGCACGCCGAATGAATACCGCACGAATCGAGCGACGACGCGTGTGGCGTTCCGATTTATACTTTCCGTCGCGATCGGAAGGGAAACCTCTCAGCGGCCATCAGAGGACAAAGAAGTTGCCAACGATCGTTCGCATAGCTCGCGGAAATGGTTGCCGCTCGCGCGCGCTCGCTCGCTCGCAGTATTACTTTCTAAAATCAACACCTTTGTAACGTATTTATTTAGGTATCGCGTTTCGCTTCCTCGTTTCTTCGGTACCTACGGGGAAGTACCGTTTCTACGATTACAATCCGCGCGCGGCTCGCCTCACTCTCGCGCCTAACCGACGTCAAACGTCCCTGTTAACGGTCGTTTATTTCGAAGATAATGAGGAAGATGTTGGCAGGTCCATGAGGAGAGAGGAAATTGTGTACGCGAGAGTCGGGAGAGTGACAAATTAACTCGCGCCTTGACTTCCGTGAGATTCGAGTTCTTCCCTCTGCTCGAATAGAACTCCGCGCATCACCGCAAGCGGGAAAATCTTACGGAAATGCCGGTCGTCGAGAGTGCCGGGTAATGACGGTACAAACTTTAAGCGGGATGTTTATCCTCCGACGCGAAAACATCTCTCGCGGCAAGAACACCGCGCGCATACTTTATTGCCGCGCCACGCGCGGCGATCAATTGAATACGAAATCTGTTAAATACGGAAGAAAGACGGTCGCGCACGCGCGCGCGCGCGCGCGCGCGCGCGCGTTGTCCGTCGGGATAGCTAGCGGCGGATGCAGGCGCGCGTCGACGATCTCGTCGGCGAGTGTACGTGTCCTCGTCGGATTTCGCAAAGTTCGAGGGAACGAATCGCGACAAATTGATCGGCCACATTTTTCTTTCGCGTTCTACAAGCGACGCGACGGGAATATTCGTGATATTGCGCGAATAACTGGCGCGACGATCCGGCCTTCGATCGTCCGTAATGGATATTCGCAAAAAGTTATTTGCGCGAAACGTAATTTCACTTCCGCCATGAGAAGGCGCTAATATAATATAACGTGCAATTTAAAGAATCACGAAGGAGTGTCCAATTAGGACGCTAATGTGTCGAGAAGCGGCGGAAATGAAGCGGAAAGAGGCTACGCCGATAATTTTCGAGGCATGCGTCAATCACTCCGCCGTAGCTCGAATGGAGATCGGATATTTACCTCGAGTCGACTCATTCATCCTTAATTAACGTAACTGTGCGTGATATCCAGATGTTTCCGACCTAAGAACCATGATCGGCAGATTTCTTCTTGAACCATTCGCGGTAATTTATATCGACCCGTACGTACGGCTCGTAGGACGAGGTACAGGAAGAGAAGGAGGGGGAGGAGGTGAGGAAGGAGAAAGAAAAGAGGGGAAAAGGAGAACGAGTCTCGCTCTCAAAATCCCTCGTTACACGGGAAAATCGTGATCGCTATCGTATCTTATCTTTTTCTATTTGTCGCGTCGTGGTAATCGCCGGTTCAATGCACACACGCAGGACGCTCAGCGATATCGAGAGAGAAAGAGGGGGAGAGAGAGAGAGAGAGAGAGAGAGAGAGAGAGAGAGAGAGAGAGAGAGAGAGAGAGAAAGAGAAAAAGAGACCCAGTTGCTGTCGTCGGGGACACGCGGCGGGAAAAATTCGTTACGACCTTTCGACGCAGGGGTATTTTCGCAGGGAAACGGAAATTTAATTATTTTATTTGGTTAAGCGCATTGTTATTTTTCCGCGATTTTTTCACAATCCTTTTTCCTCAATAAACTGATGGCACAACGACCAAATTAACGCGAATCGCGGTACAGAAGGGGGAGGGAAGGGGCGGCGGGACAGGTTCGCGCGTCTCGCTACGTTCCAAATGATACGAAAAATGACACGTGTGCGTATCGATTGACACACTTTCCATGCTTTATCGGTTATACGGACGCATCGATGAAAATACCCGTGGATTGCAGTACCGCCCGGTGTCGATATCAGATGTGCAATCATCGCGTGCCTGACGCGCCGATAGCTCCTCCAAAGTACACTAATATACACTTTTCCTTCGCGATCTTTCCTCGCAGGCGTTCCCGTGATTCCTCTTTCCTCTTTTCTCAAGCCACCACGGATCCCCCCTCCCGACGTCCGCCGGGCAGCTTAAACGGACGAGGAGCACCGCGCGGCATCAAGAACGTGAGGGCTCGCGCGCGCGTGTCAGCCCGTACAGGAGGGAGTCGTAACGTTGATTGACAGGCGATCGCATCATCGACAATGTGTTAATGCTCGTAACAGTATCCGATATCCGGTGGATATCGATGACTGGCCGATCGACTCCGAGCGCAGTTTCACGGAGATGTGGTCGTCGCGCAAAATCTGAACCGACGGGCCGTTCGACATTTTTCCAGTCGGGCACATTTTTAATTACGGCCGAGCCGTCGCGCGAGCGCGAGCGCGCATTTTTGCCGGAACATCCGCGCGTTAGGAACGGCACGACGATAACTACAACGACGATGACGACGACGATGCGGCGCATGGATCTTGTTTCTGGGCGGATTTCCTCCTGCGCTACCACGTGCCTTTCTTGCGCGACGCGCATGCTACCTGCGATTATCCACGGCTCGTCATTCGTGCCTGATCAATAAGCTACAGTTAATCGCACACGTTGCGGTAGAACGAATTACACGTCGCGGTATGTCGGACTCGCGGCGCGGGATACGTTTATCTGCTTTTAATTAACGCATGCTACGTATCCCATGAATCTGATCTATTCCAAAGCAGATTAAGCGGTCGACGAGCTTTCTTGCGAATCGAGAACTCATTTGAAATGGAAACGAAGTGCCCCTGGCGATCCCGTGTACTTCCCATTTTTCCATTCTTTCCTCCTTTTCCCTCCTCGTATTTTCCCTCCCCTCTCGCCTTTCTCTCTCTCTCTCTCTCTCTCTCTCTCTCTCTCTCTCTCCCCCCCCTCTCCGCCGCTCCTTTTTTCCTTATTATTTCTTCTTGCATTTCTTCCCTTAAACGCCGCATAAGTAAAACGCTCCACTCGGCAGCTTTGTGACGGCAGCCGGCAGTCCAATGATAAACCGTGCGAGCGACAGCGTGCAATTCCGATTCGATCTTATTTATCAACGGATACGCGGGCAAATCGCGTTCCGCTTTTATTTACTCGTGCCGAGAGAGATCGGTCCCGATAGCGCAAGTTGCGCTCAACTTCGTTACATCTTGTTCGGCCTAACGTGCATAATGGTCTCTCTCGCGGTCGGCCCCGACTCTGTACGTCGGGGAGGATGCGCACGAATAATCGATCAAAATCATCGGGGGAGAGTAACGGGGAGCGGGGGCAATGGGGCCCGCGGATATCGGCCAACAGTTGCTGATAATTAGCGCATCGGCCGTGCGCGGTTCAATTAACTGCGCTACTCCTCCTTTTTCCCGACGGCTCTACGTTACGCCGTTACGCGTTCGCATGAACTTGCGGCGGGATGTCATCAATATCCATCAGGCTATAAAACGTAACCACCAACGCCGCCGCTGCCGCCGCCAACAAACGTGACCACCCTCCGTCCCCCTCAAATCGCTCGTCCAACTTCTTATCGTCACGTCGCGCAGTCGTTACAATTCGGCTTCCTTGTATCCGATATAATTCCTGGCCGATAATCTCGATCGATCGATCGATCGTCCGACTTGTGTGCCACCGCGAATTGTGCGCCGCGACGGACGGCGGGCGACGAGAAATTTGTCCAAGTCGAAAGCTCCGGCTCCGTCCGAGCGCGAGAACGAGGGCCGTTGTCGTTGATCGCGCCTGGCGAAAAAGCGCGGATCGAGCTTGCACCGCGAGAGAGAAGCGACGCTCCGGGTTACGCGACACGGGTGTGTATGCGTATACGTGTTGTGTGACGCAAGATATCCAACGAGCAATCAGAGATGCTTCTTTCTCCTCGCTTGCTCTCCGCTCCGATCGGCTCCGTTCCGCTCCGCTCGCCGCCAAGCCCTACGTCCGTCCCCCGGCCGTCGATCGACCGACCGACCGACCGACCGACCGACCGACCGACCGACCGACCGACCGACCGGCCGGGATATCGATATTGAAACGTAAAAAAGATTCAATCAGTCGCGAAGTTTCAGCGCCAATCAATCACCCCTTCCCGCTGGCCCGTTCAGCTTTAGGACGCGAAAGCTCCCTCGCGCGCGCAGCCCGCACTGGCGCGCCTGATCGCGACGACGACGCTAAAATGGCCGTGAGGGAGAAGGGTGGAAGTGCGGGCGGCGAGAGGAACAGGGTGCGATGGGGGTGAGGGAGAACAGGAGAGGGTGGCTGGATGCGCGACGAGGAGGCCGCGGGGGATGGAGAGAGAGAGAGAGAGAGAGAGAGAGAGAGAGAGAGAGAGAGAGAGAGAGAGAGAGAGGGAGGGAGAGAGAGAAAGAGAGAGAGAGCACGACGAGCGGACGGGAGAGCGAGAGTGACGCGGAGCCGCGCGAGAGAGCGAGTCAGAGAATGAGCTTTCGGGTGCACGACGGAGTCGACGCACTGGAGGCTCGTCGTGCTTGCGGCGGGAGCTTCAGTAGCCGCTCGTACGTCGACCGGAAAACCTTTCACATTACGTCGCCCTGAGACGCGCAGCGCGCCATCGTCGGCGAGGCATCGCAAGGGGGGCTCGCGGTGGCCGAGCGCGACCCCTCGATCGGCTTGTCCGGTCACGAAAAATCGCGCGCGAGTTCGCGAGTCGTTTGGCTCTTCTTCATTCGCATCAGGACGCATTGCACGATCGTAAGGGAGGAAAAAGCAGCAGGAACGATCTATCGGAGGATATATACACACACACACACACACACACACTCACACATACACACACATACACACACACACACACACGCACGCACACACACACGCACGCACACACACACACACACATAGTGCAGTGCCGGCAAAGAAGAAAGAAACGCGTCAATGGATCCGCTGGTGTCTGCGGATCTCGTCGGCGCCTGAAAGTGATTTGATATGAGGGCTGACCTGTGACCGGTGATTGAATGAGCACGTCGCGCGTGTATATGAGTGCGTAATCGACGAGAGAGCGTAACCGAAGCATCATGAGAAGTGATACCGCGCGTCCTACGCTTTCCGCGACGTTCCTCTGCGTCCTTCTCGTCGCCGTGACCGGTAAGAAACAGCCGCGCGACAGTGAGACACGGATCTCTCCCTCCCGGATGGACCTAACCCGCAGCCGCTCCGGTCTACCCCTAAACCGGAGCCCCTTTAATCCTGGAATCGGGGCTCGTAAAGCCCGCGGTCATGCCGTTCGGAACGGGGATAAAGAAAACGAGAACGCCCCCCGAAACTTGCTTTCACTCGGTGAACGGCCGAGGAAATTCGCACAGCCCGACGAGTCAAGTCGGCGGCGATTGTGCGCGATCGGTCGATCGTGAAATTTCGCTTATGTGCTGCGTGCGACGTTCGCGGATCGCGAAAGCCACGGGAATTCGCGTCGATCGCGACGTAAATCGCGCGCTGTGACAAGCAAGACGACAAAATTAATCTCGAAGCTAGGAAAATCGAAAGCAGAAGAAAAAGGATTTAAGATACATTTTTACGTACAGAAACTCGCGAGGAGGGGACGAAAGCGCTACGGGGTTTTCTGCGGAAGCCAGCTAATAGTCCCACCAGTGCGACCGCGATCGAAACGCGCAACGAAAGTTCGATTCACCGTGACAAGTATGCGTATTTTCTCAACAATCATCGCTTTCACCTCCTCCCTGCGAGCTCGCGCACGGAGAGTGTAAAAATGAAACGAAGTGAATTTTACCGCGCCAGCTCGAGAAACGATTATATTTTTAGACGAAATCTCTGAGACGCGATAGCCGGAACAGAGGAGAACGAAGCTGACTCGGGCCAACTTTCTCGATGTCTTAAACAAAGCAGAGCGCGGCAATTTCATTGCCGGAGCGCCAGAGAATCACGGCTCTCGTAAGGGCCGAGGTTCAAGAGAACGGTTATAGAGTCTGAGCCGGGGAGAGTCGCGCTTCGCTTGAGAAAACCCTATAAAAGCCAGTGGTCGGGGATTGGGACTGGGAAAGAAAAGGATATGAGGGAGGGGGAGAAGTTCTTCCGTCGTTCGATTTCGTGAGCGTACCGTAAGGGTGATCCCCGTTCGATGACCGCGCCTCTCGTCCCGTCGATCCTCTCTTTCGAGCGGCGGCGGCGGCGGCGGCGCGATGTGCGACCTGAGAAAAACTAGCGGAGCGAACAGCTTCTATGTCGAAAGATCGGTATGTCGGAACTAGCGAGTCACGCGATTTCCGTCCTTTTGTCTGGGGGTCCGACCGGTCTTCGGTTAGGATTTGAGCATCTTTTGTATCGTCTTAGCGAGACGAAGGCGCAAATGGCCGGTGGAAGGGAAGGCGAAAGGCGAGTCGTGTAGCGCGTCGCGCGTATGTCCGCGGCAATCAAGTCCGCGCGATACGAAAAAAACGAGAAGTTTCAATCGCATTATAGGGAGCGAGTGAGAGCGAGCGTACGCGCGGATGGGGACCAAGGCTAACGAAGCAGATATGCTTGACAAAAGGCGACACGTACAGGGTCACGTCGGCGGAACTCGTCAGCCATTCGCCTAGGGAGTCTTTAAAAACCGCGGCGCAAGAGCAAAAAGCGCTTTCTAATGGGGACACGACGGCGCTGAAACGGACCATCTAATTAGTTCTTACGCGGCGTCGAGATGAGAGAGCGAGGAGATGGGGAAGAGGGGGGGGGGGAAAGAGGAGAGAAAGCACGTCGGCGGAAAAGTGTCCGGAATAAAAGTCGTCTGAAAAGCTCGCGTGCGAAGAAAAATAAATCATGAGGAGCTCTCACTTCGATATCACGATTTGTTTTTTCGAGACTCTTACTTTTTGTACTTAATCAACCGTAGTGCCTCCTTACGGAGAGATTATTAACCCGTAAAGTCGAGAAGTTTCGCTCCGCTCTTTCAAAATTTAATGGCTCGCTCGAAACTTGTCTACTATCTCGCTATCGTTTAATAATATCGTCGCTCAGTCTTAATAATTGACGAGTGACTGTGATACTTTAATTCTTATCGAAATTGAAAAATCGATCGAGTCGTGTCGAAGAGAGGAAGAAAGAGAGAGAGAGAGAGAAAGGAAGGGAGGGAGGGAGGGAGTGAGTGAAGGAGAGAGAAAGAGAGAGAGAGAGAGAGGGAGAGGGGGGAGGCAAACGGAGGGAGCGATCGTGCACGACGTGACGCTACGAATTTAAATTGCAGCGAAAAGGAAACATATAAAACTCACTTCTACCACCGTCGACTTCGTAACGCAGTAAACGTTAATCAAACTACAGCCGGCGTCGCAGCCGTTCCCGCTGAAGTGTGACAGTCGTCGGAACTATTAAGCCGCGTAGAAGAAACGATTCTCCCGCGAACTTACTAAATTTCTTATGCACAGGATCTTTACGGACTCGCAAGTTATCCGCGTAATATAGAAAATCGCCCGTTTTTAATTTATTCGCCAGGACGCACCGGTGGCACGGTCGCGTCGTAGCCGCTATAGCTTTATGCGAATCGCGCGAAATCACGTGAGAAAAACGGCACCCCGCTGAGCCGTGAGAATATGAGAAAACTTGTTTGCCGGAGGTGAATTCTTTCGGTCGGCGGTTCGAGAAAGATTAACGAGTGGAGGACCATGCGCGCGCGCGCTACTTGATTTAAATTATTAACGAGCCGTTTATTCACATCCACGCCATTTGCCGCAGAAAACGCGCTGGAAAATTAACTCTCTCCGCCGCGCAGATCCGTGAAAAGAAGCCGATATTGATTCCGAAGTGTACCGTCGCCCGCCGATAGCGATGTCGCCTCCAGTGAAAGATAGAGAGAGAGAGAGAGAGAGAGAGAGAGAGAGAGAGAGAGAGAGAGAGAGAGAGAGAGAGAGAGAGAGAGAGAGAGTAAGGAGGGGGGAGGAGGGAGAAATTAACAATACGGAACGCTCTCGAGCGAGATATACGAGACGCTATGTAAATGTCGTCGAGACCGCTCGTCGACGGCCGAATAAGGAAGATGTTAATCTGATTACCGTTATCTTACACGGATCTGTTGCGCGATATTCGTCCAATCTCGCGTTGCCATTATGTTCGACGTCGAAACCCCTGACGGGACATTTTCATAATCCGATCCGGTACAGTGACCGCTGTCGGCATCGCTAACTATGTGTGTACCTTAATCGACGGAAGAACACGCGAGCGAGCACTCGGTTAACGCTCGGGAAGCAGGTAGCGCGAATTCGCACAAGCGTGAGACCGCGACGCACGGATTCCGCTGAGGCGGAGAGAGATCGCTGTCGCGAGAGATCGAAACGTCGAAAATATCCCTCGTGCCTCTCGTTTAAATCTGCGCGTCCACCGCCGAGAGATCTCTCGTGAGATACGACGGGAGATTCGAAGGCGAGAGCCATCGCGTAAATTCGTATCAAGACGGGAGTGTCGGACGAAGGGGAGCGATTTGCGAGGAAATGACTTTATCGTGAAAATTTTACGACGATTTTACCGCCGCGCGCGAGGAAACATACGTCGGCGCGATGTCTCGACGATGTGTATACCTTCAGACCACACGCCTGTGTGCGGAATGTGATTGCCGATTGCTTCCGATACACGCAAGCCGTTAACTATTCATTCGCTGTGTGTGTGACGACGCTGTGCGCCGCGTCTCCTCCGCGCGTTGCGATCGTTGCGGCTGCACGAATCGCGCGTGCAGCCGCACTTTATAGACGAGTCTCCCGCCGCGCCGCGTTCGACGATCGTGGGTGGTGCGCGCAAAACTGCAACACGGCTGCTTCTTTTATTACGATGTCACGCGGACACGTTAAAATGCGCGACAATATCGCGTCGCTTCCGCGCGCGGTCATCGCTAATCGTCAACGTCGCGTGCTTTGCACGCGAGTCGCATCGAGCAGCCCTCCCCTCGTTCTCCCACGCGAATACGTGCCGCAATTTTCGTCAGCGACTCTGCGCTGAAAGAAGATATACCTTCCCCTCCCTTCACCGACGTCACAAAAAGCCTGCATAAAAAGTCCCGTCTGTGTAAAGAGACCTGAGCGGGAAACGAGCAAATACACGACATTTAAACGAGAGATACGACGCCTCACCGCGTGTGATCGCGCGATTACGTCGGAGAGTTCTCGGGGAGAGAACCTCTTCCTGATCCGGCGTCGGCTTAAAGTCACGACTCGTCTCGCTCGCTTTATCGCGCGTCTCGCGCGATCTCGTCCGGTGATGGTTCTCTCTCTCTCTCTCTCTCTCTCTCTCTCTCTCTCTCTCTCTCTGTATGTGTGCGGTTCGGTTAATTAAAATCGCCGCGGAACGGATAAAAAGGCCTGCTCCGCCGCTGTCTTTCTCGCCGACGCGCATCCTCTCTCGTGTCCTTCGTCCGATTTTCGCGGCGGCATAATTAAAGTGTCACGCGGCAAGTAACGCTGATAGAGGGTGCAAAAGTAAGAAAGACTAAAGTAACGGGCACACGCCTTTGTTCTTCGACGGTGGGTGGCTACGAAGGAACGGGCGCGCATGGCGGGGGAGGGGAAAGCGGCTGACAGCGGGATGTGAGGAACGAGGGGGAGGGCAGGGCGGGCTTAACTGTGAGAAATTAAGCAATTAAGCCGCGTATTTTACTACCGGAGATCCGACGTTCAGCCAACTAGTCTTCCGATCTAGACTCGCTTCGCTGAGACCGTGAGTAGGGAACGTATATCTCGCGTTATTAAGATATCGTGTAGTTGCGCGAGCGGACGATCCAGACCGAAGGTCTGAACGATAAAACGAGGCCGCGCGCGGGGAGTCGATCAAACGATAAGAAAGTAAAAGCTGACGTCGCGCTGCAATAACTCCGTCTGTCGCCCGCGCGCGATTGTGTAATGAAATGTTACCGTCGCGATTTAAACGTTCGGCAGGATTATTAATCATCCATCCACCTTCACCTTGAGGCGGAATTAAACATTTATTTATTTAGTTCTCCTTTCCTCTCCTTTCTGATAAATCAGCCGCGCGGAAGTGATCTCAACGCGGGTGGAGGAGACGGGAGATAAAGTCGCGTTAATTTTTATCGTAAACAAGCTTCCCCGTTAAATATAAATGAACGTGCCATTTCCCTCCGGCCCCCTCTCCCCCCCCCCCGCCGACGGGAA